CACAGAGACTTAGCAAATGTGAGAAGCCACAGAATTCCTCTGTTTAATTTGTGTTGGAGGTGCTTTAAACTTGAGAATGGTTCACTGCAGGTCTCAGGGAACCAGCATGAAGAGCTGCAGAATGTTCGGAAACACATCCATTCCTGCTTCACCAACATTTCCTGTTTTCTGCTACCTCATCCGGGCTTGAAAGTAGCTACCAATCCAAACTTTGATGGGAAACTGAAAGGTTTGTCGTCTTTTAATGAATATATTTACGTCACTTAGTCTGATTATAAAAGTGTCCTTTTATCCGCTGGGTTACGGCTGATAGATTAGTTATTTACTGATATGAGACTGGGGATTAGAAGTTGTCTGGGGAATTAGGACTCCGGGCCGGTCCTGGGGCTGGGCCTGCCGGGACTGTGTGTGCTGCCCGGGAAAACGTCAGATCCTGCCTTCACCCTGGACAGTCACCCTCACCCTCTGTGCACTGAAATGTTTCTGAATATCTTTACACTTAATTTTTCTTATCCACATTAAAGGAGAAAACTAGGTGTCTATGGTATTGGAATGTTGTATTAAGTTATCTAAATAGAGATTCAAAGAAACGTTGCATAGTACTGAATCCAGGTCTTTAAATTGGCAGCATTGCTAAAAATGAAATCCTCTCTGGATAAAAAAAAAAAAGCTATAAAGTTTTTCAGGTAACACTACCTATAATATGTAATTATCTCTTTAACAAAGGCTTGACTGTTACCTGATTAAAAAATAAAAAAATTCCAGACTTGGTGGCTCACACCTGTAATCCCAGCACTGTGGGAGGCTGAGGAGGGAGAATTGCTTGAGACTTGGCTGAGCGAGAGTAAGACCCTAACTCCTAAAAAAATGAAATAACCCAGGCGGTGCCACAGGGAGCGCCTGTAATCCCAGCAGCTTCTGGAGGCTGAGGCAGCAGGATGCCCACAGCCGGAGTCTGAGGTTGCAGTGAGCTGTGACACTGTGACGCCATTGCACTCTGCTCAGGGCATAGGGCGGGACTCTGTTTTAACAAAAAGAAAAAGAAAAGGTGGGGGTGGAGGTGGGTGTTGGGGAGACAGAAGTCAGTCTTCCTGATAGACAGCCACCAGCTCCTTGGCCGTATACTTTGTAGTTAAGCATACAAGGGGGTACAAAGGACGAGGCAAAGACACTTCTGACTTTGGCGTTGGACATACCACTTGTGTTTAATTTCCTGTGGCCTTTCTGGATTGTACCAGGAGTAAGACTGGGACATTACAAGCTTTTTAGCACAACTGTTGTCAGAGGGCTTTAAAATTACATTTTAAGAAGGATACCATAACCTGTATCCAGTTTTATGAAATACAAATTTGAAAAGCAAGTTATTTTTTTCCCTTGTTCCATCGCATTTACTCTTAGATATCTTACATGATATTTAACTTTGGCAGTTAGTACCATAAATAGAGCCCCACATTTCTCAAATTGCTTTTATACACATTTTACGTGCTCTTACCTTTATGCCACCCAACAGATAGCAGTGCGTACAAATGGATGCCAGGATCCTATGATTTCACTGACATACTTAACGAATTCCAGCCCACAGTGGAAACACAGATATCTTGATGTTGTGCAACGACCCAGTGGCTTCAATGTGTTTTGAATAAATTATGTAAAGAGAGGGTTTCCACAAAGCCTTTCTTTCTTCTCTGGAACTAGGAGCCATAAACAGGCAGAGGAAGGGCGGGCCTTCAACAAGTGTTCTTTATTGGGATAAAACGCACTCTGGCTTGTTCCGTTACTGTAATATACAGCCACCGTTCTTAAATTAACTGGTACATTTTGCAAAGAAAAAGCTCAGGGGCAGGGGAGTTTAAGAAAAATTATGCAAATATAGAATCCCACTTTTCAACAGATATTCTCCATCAACTTTTATTCACAGTCCACACATAGATTGACCTACAGCAAGTTGGTTTACAACTACCTAAGTAAGTAGGTAAGTAAGTTTACCAAAGCAGCTAGCCCCCGAGAAAGAAAAGTGAGAGGCAACTTCGGTTCCCATAAAAGTTCCATTTTAATGAAACTGCTAAATTCCTCTGGTGTGCGGAAATGGAACCTCAGTGTCTCCTTGAGCAGTTTTGCACATCTGCTGTCTGCGTTATCCTTCCGTCCCAGCCCGAGTCTTACATTTGGTGCGATTTCTCTGTGGGATGTCATGTCAGCTCTCCGTGCCATTCTCCAGAGGGCTGGCATCAGAGAGGTTGCCTCTGGGGAAGAAATGTCTCTGAATAAACAGCTGTGCAAAAATTGTTCTTGGATAACTGTTTCTCGCACACTCTTTCACACACTTATAGACAGGACTTTGTAGCTCATTATCAATATAATAATTATTATAATAACTACTTTTTATGGTCCATCACAG